CTAGTAGGCTGGATGAGGTTCTACCTGAAAATAGTGGAATCTTTAAATTTGTTGGTGGGTATTGTGAAAACGTGGCTTCAGGAAATAGTTAATGTGAAATCGTTTCAGATAGCTGCGTTCAAAGGCAGCAAGTAAGTGAAATCGTATTCTGGAAAGATGGGAACATTTACTGGCTTAGTCATCGTCACCATATGCTTGATTCAGCTTAATGTTGTACTCACATCCAGGTTGCATTCATTCTTCGTTAATCCATATGAACGCATTTTTACTTTCAATAAATCAATTTTTACGCAGTTCGGACGTAGCGAAAGATCAGCCTCATATTTGACAGCATTGATCTTGAGATCAGATGTGAATTTTAGTTAATTGCTGGTATTATCAAAATTTCAATCATACCATGCTTTAAATTGCTATTAACAAACACGCTTATCAATAGTACTACTCAGTTGACATAGAAAAGTAGCTACATGCTTAATTTTGAAATCATTTGATGTTTTCGAATGATCTCAACCTCGAATTCGTTGTAGGTTGAAAAGACAATATGGTCACCCTGCTGGATATGGTGGTGCATATGGCGGAGCAAGCAGTATAAGTCCAAACGGCGCATGGAGAACTGGAAGTAACGGGGGAGGAGGTGGTAATATTGCCGGAGTTAAAGGGGGGCCAGTGTATGGTGGTGGTTACGGTGGTCCGGGAGCTGGAGGATTTGGCAGCGGTAATGCGGGTGGACAAGGTGGATTTGGCAGTGGTTATCAGCCTGGAGCAGGCGGCTATGGCGGCGGTAACGGGGGTGGACCAGGTGGATTTGGGGGTGCGCAGCCAGGAGGTGCATTTGGCGGAGCAGGCCATGGGATCTTACATCATGTATTGGGAGGAATTACTGGGGCTCGCGTGGGACGACAAAGTGGGTGGGTTGAACCGAGTCTCACCAATAAACCTGGAGTTTCCGGTGGTCCAGGCAGTTCTGGTTTCGGTAATGGATTTGGTGGGTCGAATAGTAATAAACCTGGGATCGCCGGCCCTCCAGGCGGGGGTGGATTCGGCGGTGGTGGCCAATACAATAATAATCCTGGCTTTGGGGGTGGATTTGGTGGGCAACAAAACAGTAATCCTGGGTTCGGTAAGTAAGAACTAAAGTCGAGCCTTTTACATCTTGCAGTCAAAGCCCTCTCAGTGAACAGTAGCAATTTCGTAGACGTCGATGGCTAATGGCGAACCCAATGAAACCCATGAATTTTAGTATACAGTGGAATTTGTCAATGCATCACAATGTAAATTTCATTATCATTCACTTATTATTACATCTATATTAAATCTAAATTGAACCTCATCCATTGCACATTTATATTGACTCTAATGTCAATTTTTTCACATCTTTTTTTTTCAACTTAATTTGCATTGTGACTAGATGTTATATGAGTGACATGTTACATATCATACATGAAAAGCATTTATCCGATTATATACTGAATATGCTCACAAAAAAGCGACAATCATTAAATCCGGAAATCCGTGTATGATAAAGAATGCTTTTCTCATTTCACTGTCAAATGACTGCTCCGAAACTCCGAAATAACCTATCACAAATGAACTCCTCATGTAGTTTCATGAAGCTTTAATTGGACCAAATGAAAAATTGTTGAGTTTTGTTAAGAGGAAGCTACAATTAGTTTCATATAAAGCTTGATATCGTTCGTAGCCGAAGAGAGCAACACCTTTTAATGACAGAGAGATGTGAATACAAAAAAGTACAAATTTTCTGAAGCTGAGGCCACGTTTTCGTCGAAATATCATGAAGAATTCGTGAGTTAGGTAATCAAAACAACACACCATCGAAAATACTGCTGTCCATACTGCTTTGATAATGATGAAATAATCTGATATGATCGCAATCGAAACATTTCACTCTACAAGAGATTCTGAATGAAAACTATCAATATCAATGTCTGTACACCTAAAATAATGTCAACAGTAATCATAATCCACACTCTTGCTGGTTACAATTTCATTAGTGTCGAAATGCTTCAATTGATACGAGTAAAACTCATGCTGCTAGAGTGCTAGTTGTAAATTGAGCCATTCGTTACAGTTCAAGTAATCTTACAGTCCAAGTAATTCAAGTAATTATCATTTAAATATTGCGAAGTATCTCAGGGAAGATCATGTATTTCAGTGCATAACGGTCACGTCGAACAGCATTTCGACTTCCCACTCTAAGAGTTGTTTCGTTTGCCTCTTACTATCAAACCAGCGATACCTACGATACGTAACATACTCTATCAGTCCCTGTATTCATGAAGTGAGCCGAATGCAATCGTTTACAGTCAACGAATTCAAACAACGAATTTTTTTGAACTAATGGATGAGAAATTGAAATGTCAATGATCCAACAACACTGTGTCATTACTTCGAAGACATTCTCATCTTCGCTGAGATGATGATGTTGTATCGTTCATGAAACCTGATTGCTGCACACGGTCATAACCGTTCATCAATTTCGTTGAAATCGAAAAAANAAAAAAGCATTCGAAGAGTTTTTACGCACGTTGTTTACGTGATTAAAAGTTGCATCTCTAAATCAATCTAAACGATATCTGCAAATCCATTCATCATTATTACTGTTCTAAACTAAGACATTGTGATAATCAAGCTGGCCTTCAGCAGAACGACTTCAAGACGTAAAAGACTTCGCAAGAAACACATCAGAGCACTCTGATGAATAATCACAAAAATACAACGAACCCCATCACTGAATGATTATTATAAATGATATCAACTTCGGTGTCGTTGAATGACGATTGATGCCGTTGTCTGCAGCTATAAAAGGACGGTGAACTCTTCTCAAAGGGCATTCAAGCGAAACAGTATCTGCAACGTTGCTATCAGCCAATCATTTTGGAAGATTTTCCTTTCGATGCATTCGACAGAATTCTTTCAATGATTTTTTCTGTCCATCGTATATTTTACTTACATTGTTAATCTCAAACTTCTAGTCTATGTCAGTCAGGGGCATGATGGATAAGTTTGAGCGTATAAGACGAGGTGATCAAGGTTATCAGATGAGATACCGATTTTAGCCATCAACAACAGTCGCTGGAGTGGAATATCGAATCTGAAAAGAGTCTAGCTAGTAAAGTGAGGTAGCAGCATGAGTTTTATAAGAGGAATATGACAATTCCTTCGTGTATGTG